GCGGATTCCTACACTAACACCAAAAATGAGGGGGGCGACACCCCCCCAACCAATCCCCCCACCCAAAGTGGCTTGCTGGCTGGGGAATTCTGGGAGTTGAAGTCCACGCATCTTAAAGCCGCCAAGGTTGAGAAACACTGCTCTTTGCCACTGTGACATCCAGCCGAGGGAACTCGAAGCTGCAGAACCCGCTGGGCAAGCCCCGTGCCATGAAGCCTCCGCCAGCTTCCAAGACAGGCGCCACCAAAAACTGATAGAAAACCATCAGCGGCGTCAGAGAGGAACACCCGCAGCGACTGCAACAACAGACTTCCATTGGGCCCTCGCTGTGCCAGACCCTGCGCTCGCAGACTGCGGGCACAGAGCCACCTCCGCGTCCAGAGATGAACTGCACAACGGCGGGTCTCCTTCGAACCCAAAGGACTTCCTATTCTATGTTGCAACTCCCTTGTTAGGGCTGCCCTGGGCGCGAGGCTCTATTCTTTGGTGAGATGGGGTTGCAGGGGGAGCTGTCTGGGGGCAGGGGCGGTCAATTTGGGTCTGAAAGGATGAGGCAGAGAGAGAAACGGGGTTTGACCCTGGTCCTATCTCAAACACAGTGGGGTGGGCGAAGGGTGCAGCTTCCCTTCTGTGCCCTAGATTTATTTTCTCCACTACATCCTCCCGGGTTAACAAGAGCTTGGACCCCAAGAAATGCAGAGTGCGAATGGAATAAATAGACAAATACATGCATTTCTGGTGTAAATATTTCTATTCTATGGCCAACTTGTCTGCTGCCAGCGTCCAACCTGCAGCTAGTCTGCAGGCCCCTCTAAACTGAGATGGGCTACGCTACAGTGGCTGGACCGACAGTCTGCACGAAGGATGGTTTGCATAAACCACAATGCCACAATGTTCCAGGCGGGGGCCGGCAAAGCAGCCTTTGCACCCTCGCAGGGCGGTGAAAGCAAAAAGCAAAAAGCAAGTGAGAACGCTCCTTCCCTTCTGAACGGTCCCCACCTTCTGAAAATAGGGCTAGTTGAGAAATCGAAACCCCGTTCGAGAGGTTATCGGTTGCATATATGCTGAAGTTCCAGGGCAGAGCGCGCCAGGTTTGCCAGCCTGCCTTCCAGACTCAAAGGCTGCTCCGGGCGGAGACGTTCACGTATCAACCAGTTGCAACCTGCGGATTTTCCGCCAGGCGACAGCACGCACACGCACAGCGCACGGGGTGAAAACAGGGCGTAAGAAAAATCCCCTTTTGATTTTGGGGTTTAACATCTTCAGGAAGCCAGTGGGAGAGGCCTTGCGTCAGACACCTGGCAAACGTACACACGTAAAGAGCAGCGCAGTTTGGTAAACAGAGTCCGGATTTAATGGGGGGGGGATTTGTTGTGGCTGTGCTGCCCCCCAACCCCTCAGCTTTCTCTCTTCCCTTCCCCCCCAGCCGGCTGACTGCATCGCTGCCAGTTAAATCCGGGGGCTGACCTGCTTGGGGAGCAAAGCCCCCGTGGTCAGAGGCAGTCTACCGTCGGTGGCAGTTGCCCCGGAGAAGCT